CTGAAGATTATCACATGACAATGCAGACCACTATGACATGCTTTCCATGTCTAGATCATCAAACACAGAATTGATCATAGTGATGTTTGGAAGTTTATGCCAAATATGTGCTTGGGTAATTACTGCTACTTTTTAATACACTCAGATAAAGTAAACATTTATTAACTATTGAAACTGATCAAATCAAGAGATTGAGGACATGTTTTTATTAAAGTATGTTTCATGTGCAAACTTTATAAAGCAATCTATTACGTAACATCCTCAGGAAGTAATAGATTTGCCTAAATAAATTCAGCAGCAGCAGATTCCGCAAGAATAATTTGATGTTAGCCAGTAAAATGGACAAAACAAATGTAAATAGGCTATACAAGTCAAGTCAAGTATATATATATATACAGGTGCATCTCAATAAATTAGAATGTCATGGAAAATTTCATTTATTTCAGTAATTCAACTCAAATTGTGAAACTTGTGTATTAAATAAATTAAATGCGCACAGACTGAAGTAGTTTAAGTCTTTGGTTCTTTTAATTGTGATGATTTTGGCTCACATTTAACAAAAACCCACCAATTCACTATCTCAACAAATTAGAATATGGTGACATGCCAATCAGCTAATCAACTCAAAACACCTGCAAAATGTTTTTTTTATTGGTCTTATGAAGTATTCGTAAAGTTTTTGTCAAATGTGAGCCAAAATCATCACAATTAAAAGAACCAAAGACTTAAACTACTTCAGTCTGTGTGCATTGCATTTATTTCATACACGAGTTTCACAATTTGAGTTGAATTACTTGAACTTTTCCATGACATTCTAATTTATTGAGATGCACCTGCATATATATCTATATATATATACACACACACACACACACACACACCATATAATGCTACTACAAATTAAACTGTTCAAGAGGTGTGATGTGTACATTATTTAAGCAGGTGTGTTGGACAGGTTTTTGCATTTTTGTTGGTGTAATGTTCAGCAGCTCAAAGCATTAGGTCAATTCGCTTTAACAAAGTTAATCATTCTAACCCATATACAAACTTAAAGCAACATAAAGTGTAATAACGCTATTAGCCTACTCCCGATAGTTACCTAAAAATAGACCTGGTTCTAATTTATTATGTATTGACAGTCGTAACAAAATCTGCGAGTTAAATATTTTGGCAGAAACTATGTTACTATGTAATGCATTTGACAAGAGAGTTCAGACTCTTACCTTTTTCCAGATAAATTACTGGACGTGTTTTCTTCTAGAAGACACGACTGACAACAGCAGTGAACGTTCACATCCACCTGTAAGTAAGTGGCAGTTGTGATGTCTGTGGAGAGTTTTCTGCTTGGACCGGTTTGTCTCTGTAGTAGGGTGAGGTGGTGACTTTTTGAAACAGTTACCGGAGTTTCGAAGTTCGCATGCAATGTAGCGTTAAATGCTTTGTGTTTACTAGATTATTTTCTAGATACTTTAATGTCAGTGAACACCCATAAATTGTTATATAGTATGGATGGTTGTGATTTTGACTTAAAATACAGTATCTGAAGTAATTCTATCCTTGCAGTGTTTCTTGGGAATAAACCTGAAACTTTGTATGGTGCAGACAATGTCCATTCATTTGTTTGGGCTGCGCTGCATGCAAACTCAGTGCCACCTGCTGGCCGCTTTTCATATTGCATGTCTGTGGATCAATGACGTGACGCTTACGCTCCTTTTCTCTTTTATTGAGTTAAAAGTGATTTGGATTTTTTTTTTTGATAGCTCTTTAATATTCATTATTTTAATTTTCATTAAAAACAAGCGGTGAATCGATTTTGTTAGAATAATATTTGTATTTAATAATATAATATTTGAAGATTTTGTCTCTAAACTGTGGTGTTTTATGTAAGAAGAAAACAAATGTATTGCCATGGTTGTACTGTGTATGTATGTACATGTATTACATTTTTTTATATGTTTATGTTACTTTAAACTGCATAAACCTTAAAACTTGCTGACATAAAAAAAAGTATTCACATTATTTATTTTTGTTTGTTTGTTTAATTTCTTTCCTTAACTTGGGCATTTTTATTTGTCACTGACCCACACATAAACGTACAGAAGGTTGTTTTAGTCTATTCCAATACACTTAAAGAGCTATTCCATGACTTTTAACGGTATATAAAAATGAATTTCAAATAACTGTTCTTGCATGTCCATATTCTGGTCTATAAACTCATAAACTAGATCATGGGCAAAATATATCACTATATAGGCCTATGTCACTTACATCTATATTCTGAAGTTCCATGTGCACTGACTGTGTGTTTCTCAGAGATGCAGTATGAAGGCACATAGAGTGAGTATTTGAGGGTACAATAAGGTTTTTAATAAAGCGGACAGATTCTAATGTTTGGGACTTCACATGTGGACAAAGTCTACTCAAATTCAGAGAACTGTTCACTTCAGCTTGCACAGAATAAGCGAGAGAACCTATGTTACACAATAAAAGCCAATATCTTTACTTTAGTGAATGCAGAATACAAATTTGTACAACAATCTCTAGCATAATATCTTAGTCATTCAATAAAAAGTTCACTAGAATATTTATTGTATAATGAAGATTAACTTAAAGTTCTCTCTCATGTTTTACTCTTTTTTTTTCTTTTTTTTCCCTTTTCGAAACAAATCTTGTTTCAGTTATGGCAACAAAGTCCAGCTTGTGCCGCCAAACGGTTTGAGCATCCAAACCGCAAACAGCTTCTTGAAGTGAACTAGTAACTACAAACAATTACCAAATACATAATTCTGATTTAGAAAAAGCCATAAAGCAAAGCAGTGTACTCTTGCACAGCAAAGTAAAGAAAGTACGCAACAAACAATTGTTGTTTCCTCTTTATCCCTTCCTTTCACATTCAACAGTTTGTGACACAGCACTCGGCACCAAAGGAATAGCCTCCTCTCTTCAGATCTCTTATGTATTTCTCCCGTGCATTTATAGGAACCCCTGACGTGAGGGTGATTTTGTTTTGATGAAGTCAGAATGTAATGAGTGATATCATATTTGATTCCGAACACCAGCAACTCTTTGGAATAAGGCTCTAATTGTGCATGTAGCTGAGAAACTCCCTGATTCCTAATCAAGCACTAATGTTGAGTGTTTGTGTGTGCATTCATTGCAGTTTGAAAATCCCGCAGTGCTTTCATAACACTGGGCTGGCATTATTGCTCGTCTAACCTGAAAAGCTTTGATTGTGATCAACTTTAAATGATTTCGACAGACATCATAAAACTTTCTAATGGGCGTTTCAATTCAGCTGAGACAACAAAGCTTGTACACATCTGAGGTTAAATCTAAAGCTATACCTAAAGCAGTGTTTGCATGGCTCTTGTGGAGTTCATATTTAGTCAGTGTGCCTTTGTACGTAACCATAGAAGGATAGTTCACCTAAAAAGACAAAAGACAGAATTCAGTCACCTTGTTCAAAACCAGTTGTGATGAATGTTTCATTCAGTTAATATCAATGCTATAATTGTAAAAATATCTTTTGTGTTCCAAAAATTAAATAAAGTCATACAAGTTTGGAACTACTGAGTAAATAATGACAGAATTTTCATTTTTGGGTGAACTATCTCTTAAATATGCAAGCACTTAAGGACAAAGGGTTAACAGTCGTTTTCTCACCTGCTCTATAAAGAGCACTTTATTCATGAACTAGGCAACATTGTGCAATTAATGAACATGTGGTAGTATAATATGCATGATTTAATTTTTTTCCTCTCAATTTATTATTATTAAAGGGATAGTTCACCCCAAAATGAAAAATCTGTCATCATTTACTCACCCTCAAGTTATTCCAAACCCGTATGAAATTCTTTCTTCTGTTAAACTTTTAAATAAAATATTTTGAAGAATGTGGGTAACCAAACAGTTGATGGTCCCCATTGACTTCCATAGTATGGAAAATAAACAGTATGGTGACCATCAACTGTTTGGTCACAAACATTCTTCAAAAAAGTCTCTTGTGTTCAGCAGAAGAAGGAGATGCATACAGGTTTGGAGCAACTGACAGTGTAAATGACAGAACTCTCGTATTTGGTTAAACAATCCCTTTAAAAATTCCACTTTTAATGTGAATGCTTTGTGTTCCTGGCTATGTGTGGGTTGGGGACTGCATAGATTAGTATCAGCTTATTGCCAGTTGCTCAAGAGGGCAGGGAGGTATGCGCACACTGACCGAATACATAACAAATCTAAAGAGGAAAGCGTCCGATGGCAAACTTGAACATACAAACTTTTTTTGTGCAATCCATTATAGAGATCATGTCCAAGTCAGTTTGCATTGTCTAGTACTTCCATCTTTAGCTGCTGAATCTCCTGACGCTTTGCCACCCGAGGGGCAGTGAAGTGTGATGCAAGCCGGAGGCCACTGCTACCAGACATTTGTGCCACACAAACAAACAGCCACACGTGAAGAGATATGCACACAGAGAGCAAAACCTGACGACGGAGAGAGCTACAGCGCCCCTTCTTGTCCAGCAATACAGAACGTTGCGACTGATGCCTCCTTAAGGTGTCTCCTTTACATTAGGAAATCTGTAGATGAGCCAATTCACAACATAACTGGAAAGGTGTTCTGTACATAGTATGCATGTGTGTATTAGGGTTACCTAAAGTTATGGTATTTACAATATATGAGGGATTTGGCTGAAATGAATTTAGTAACATGAGCTTAAGTTTTTATACAAACTTGGGGGAATGTCTGTAAAGAGAAATGTGTCTTGTACTGGATCTCAATGAATAGTGCATCTAAGCCGTGATGGGTTAAAGTAGGCAGTGTATTCAGCAGCTGCAGGCTAATCCCTCACAAAACAGTTGTAAGAAATGCATCCATATTTTTTGTTCTTAGCATGACGAGTATCGCTTTACAAACCAAAATAAAGACAGCTGAGCTTGAATCATACAGCTCTGTTGTTACAATTTCTTATTGACAGACATTCACCACCATTAAAGGGTAAACGACCCAAAAACGACCTTATTGGGGGAAAAAAAAACACTTTGAATATTACCAATAATAGTCAGACTTGAAGAAAGTACAGTATAGTTAACAAAATAGTAAATATTAACCAGTGAATACTCTACTTAATAAGGATCTCGCCTTGTAAACTTGGCAGTAATCCACAAAAATATACTTTTTTCTTGAATCCGGTGAAGGTACAATACATACGTACTTACACCAAAAGTTATATATATTAAAGTTGCTATGTACATAACAAAAGAAAAAAAGGTTTGGCTCAAATCTTTAATTTACAAACAGAACAGCAAGTGTTCATGGCTTTAGATATCGTTTCAAGATCTGCTTTGCATGTTATTCGTTTTCCAATGTTTGTAACAACGCACACTATGACAGAACTAATATGAAACAAACATCGAGAGAGAAATGCTGAAAATTCCCAACCTACAGTACGAGAAAATTACATAGAGGCTTTGGCTTGCATTACCATTGAGTTGTTGGAGCTGCATGAATGTACAATGACTTGCTATCGTCTTTAAATCGACTGGGCTACCTGTTCTTTTCCCATTTGTTAAAAACGCTGTTAAAAGGGATTGAAAATTCATATTGATATTAATTTAGAGACATTTTCATTTCTTTCACTTAATGTCTTAACTGAGGTGAAATGTGATCTCATTTTAGATACAAGCCTTCCCCCGTAAAACTGATCCAAATCTATCATCAAATACCTTTAATTAAATTAATAAGTGACATACTTCATATAAGGGCGAGTGAAGATACAGATTGTTTAATACATGAGCCCAGCAGGCAGAAGCCTTCGGACAGAAAGCCGCCCCTAAACTTTCTTTGATTGTTTGCAAAATCAACAGCGAAAACAGCTACGAGTGTCAAACTGCACCAGTGACGACAATAATCGAAAATGTTTTCTTCATACATTGGACTCTCGCGCAATGCAATTTGCATCAAGTACCTGATAACACCTGTTTGAGTACACCGTTCATTCTGACTGCTTGACTTGAGATTCTCTCTCTCTCCACTCATCTGCTTAATTTCGATATGTCAGGACATTTTCGATTTCTTTCCCCATCTACCTACTTACAAAAAAAGTGAAATGACGTTAAATTATAACAATAGAATAATAACAATAATGACCCTCCCTGCTGTCACTCCTCTCTCCCTTTCCCCCTGCCCAGCCCTGCGTGTGACTGACTGGCTGTCAGGCTCGGGACAGCTTTATGTCACCCAGGTGTCCATGCGCATGCGCTTGACAGTGGGGCTCTCCCTCTCTCCAGCCCCGGCGGCAGGGGGTCGACCCAGGCCGAGTGGGGAGTGGAAATCAGGCCGGTGATCCTCTCGGTCGCTTCCGTCATAGGAGGAGCAGGAGGAGCTGAGGCTGTCGGCAGGCGAGCGGCCCATGTCGTGACGGCCGGAGAGAGGCTGCTGCTGCTGCTGCTGCTGCTGCTGCTGCTGCTGCTGGGGTGGGAAGCCGGACGGGGTGATGCGCTCGCGTGGAGGAGAGATGGGCTCGGATTTAATGTTGATATTATGGCTGGTGTTGATGGAGAGATTTGAGCCCTGAGGTAAGTGACCGCCACCTCTGAACAAAGAGAGGAAATTACAAAATGAAAAATTAGTGCATAAAACTATGTCTGTGGACTGCAGAAATTCCTCAACTCAGCAGCTACCATGTGATGCTAACACAGAGACCTAGATAGCCCAGTAATAATATCCCACCCTCCATCTGTTTACTCAATGGTGCTTACAGCAATAACAGCACCTGAATCATTTTAGAGGGTGGTATCTAATTAAGAGCATGTCTGGCAGAATGTGACGAAAACAGTTCACTAATGTTTTGATGGCACAACCACTGCGTTTAAATATAAGCTTTCATTCACAGGCTCTGGAAACATAACATTTTAGTTTTTTTAGTCTGTGAGTCACGCACTCTGCTATTACAGAGAAACTACACAGACAGATAGTTATATAAATGCATATCCTTCTATACCACTTTCTATCTATCAATCTATCTATCTATCTATATAAAAAAGAAATTTAAATCATATGCATTATAAACAACAAACTTTTTAGGACAGATAAGATTCATTAAATTCATTACATTTTTATGTTCTTCTCAATCAATTTTTTTGTATTTAAATCTGTATAAATATTATCATGACATAAATATTCATTATATTTTTTAATCATTCAAAATCTAAATCTAAATTACAAATTCTAAAATAAGTTTCATAAAAAAAAGTCTAATTTTTAATGTCTAAAGTCTAAGAAATGTCTAATTTGTGTGCTTCCATGCTGCAAAAAAAAAAAAATTCTCACTGAATATCTTTAAAACAAGATACATTTACTTGAGAAGCACAGTGACTTAAACTATTAATAAGTGGCAAAACAGACAGTCCCACCCTAACCTCATGCCACTGGTTTGTCTCTAATATTATGACATCAAAAACACTTCAGTATTAATCAAAACATGATTTTATTTTTAGAGTGTAATATGGCATGGACATCGATCCATCCTTCCATTACACTTTCTAGAGGGAAAAAAAATCTAATGAAAACATATGGCAACTAAGAATGCATTTGACCTCATGCCTGGGCACATTAGTTAGTGTTCTGCAAACCTGCGTGTGTGTGCTTTGTGTGGGACTGCACACATCTATGTTACTCACACCAGCGAGCTGAGAGCTGCCTGGCCCAGTTGATGCTGTTGCCATGCCGACATTGAGCCTATAGAGAGCCCTGGAGAGCCAAAGCCTTGCAGAGAGGAGAGCTCAGCACTGCTCAGGGAGTATTCTAGAGCAAAACAACACAACAACAGAGTTTATGAGTCACTCAAACACCTCTGCACTCACACAGTCAAGCATTTCGAATATTTTTGTTATGCACTGAGCTCGGAGCTGGATCATGTCATTAATTGTAGGGTCTTACTCTTGTTTATTGAGCCACTCAGAGAAGAATGAAATTAAATCAAACCATGAATGAATGCATACATTACAAAGCAAAGAATGACTTTTTATATTCACCAGAGTTGTAGGCAGTGGGCATGCCTGAGTAGACCAGGCCTTGTGGTGGCAGACTCGGGGTGGTGACAGAGACCACCGGTGTGGCCAGAGGCTGGGTCGACTGGGAACTGCTTATCCTCTGGGTGTTCTGTACAAAGGGCCAAATACACAAACTTAATGAGATACAAATCCCATCATAGACATACATGCACACACTAACCAACCATGTGAAGCACTGTCATCAGAATAGTGTGATTTTGGTGGAAATTATATGGAAATACCATTTTGCACCAATAAGAGGCGCTGCAGATTCATTCTAGTTAGAAATCAAATTGTTTTGCAGGTTGCTGTCAGTTAAACAGCTTTAATTCAGAAGCCCCTGGACAATGTAAGAAAATATAATATAAAATATAAGACACTACAGAATGACTATAAATAAATGTGGCACAACTGTCTACAAGATCGCTGCTAATTTTTGGTAAGGCATATGCATTAACCTGACTTAAGCACATGGATATAGGGAAATCCACAAACACATTCATACACAAGAAAACAAAACTCTCTTTCGTTTCCATGGGAAAAATTGCTCAGAGCTTACTTATTCAAAGCTGTGGGACTTATTGGACATGTCAGTTTAAAATCAAGATGTTTCTACAAAAATACCTTAAGAGAAATAAAAATAAACAATTATTGACACTGAGTAAGAGTTATACAATTATGAGGAACATGTGTTAGAATTTGCTGAGAAATATTTGAGTTCATATTTAAATCTGAGCACAGTTTGAGACAGAGTTGTGGGCTCTTCTGAAACTCTGGGGAGATGTGAGATAAATTAGTCTTTTTCTCAGGAGAAAAATCAGAGGCAGTAGACTTAAAAACATCTTAAATAACTCTCTATTTAATGTCACTGCTGTTTAGGAGAAACAACTGATATTAATATTACTGATATTAAAGAGATCTAAGTTTATTTACTGGATCCGAAAATGTATTTTACAAGAAGCATCCAGCATGCAGTGAAATTACAGTCACCCCAAGCCAAACGTGTGTACATGCAGTGCACACACACACACACACACACACACACACACACTCAGAGAAAAAAATATATAATAACTTGGAGATGTATATTCAATTCAGTGCAATTTTGCTCAGTTTTACATTAGCTGGGGTAGATGACTATTCAATCTACATTGAGTTTGAGAGGAACATTATGTACAGTCTCAAAAAATATTTAAATTATTTAAAATATTATTAGAGAGGTTTTACTTTATTTTAAGAAATAAATAATAGTGTAATGCAGATTCTACAGAACAGTTGTATTAGTACTAATTTAACCTGGATTTGTTTCAGTATTGTAAAATGCATTCACATTAGTTTCCTCTTGCTAGTGAAAATATTCTCTGACAGCATTTGGCATTCTCCTCAACTGATGACATCGTTTTGGACTCAACTCCATTTTACCGACATCATCATAAGTAAAGCAATCACAGCCCAGGCCAAAAAAACAAGAAACACAAGAGAATAAGAATTTGGGTAATGCTCAAATATGTTGACTGCAATAACATGTTTTATGTGGACTGTGTTTCTTAACATTCTGCTTTGATTGATCCACGCTTTTATGTTGCTTCAATATTAAAACTAATACCAGGTTTATTGGTGAGATCTTAGGGGAACATTAAATAATTACTGATGATTGCATCTTTGGGGATTTTATGGAATTCATCATTCTCCTTTCTTCGAATACACCCACAACACTCTTCCTTTAGCCCAAACACATACACATACATTTCTGGACACACTGTGGGTCTTTTAAACTTCCTTAAAAAGGCTCAGAACATGCAGTGTGAGTCACACACAACGCAGACCAGACATCCGCACAACACTCGTAAGTTCATCCAGTTCATGTTGGGTTTAGTCGATTTTCATCGCAAGCAGTGGAGTCATTTCTCTAAGCTAAGTGTGGCTCTGCTCGTTAAAGAAGTGTGATTTTAAAAAGCTTATCAGCCTTCCCAAGGCATTCGGTGAAACTCACCACCAGCTCCATCTCTTCCTCCTCCGACTGCTTCCAACAGAAAAAAGCAGATGATGTTGTCAGTATAGAGCCAGGTGTCACACCTAAAGCTCAGCAGGGTCAACCCACCATTCTCACCAGGACGTGCCTTTAAACTAACTTATTCAAATTCAGAGACTGAAGCGTGAACCGAACGCTGCCTCAGGTTACTTGCAATAAAACTGGAAATTCAAATTCAGAGTCAAATTCAAATGAAAAGTCAAATTTGTTGGCACTAAATACACAATGTTTTCATTCCTCATGGCCATGTGGTTTGTCCGACACAGCAATTAGGTAAATGTAAGACGACTTCCAGTGCAAAATGCTGAACAAAGGGAGAGTAATAGTGGAGTAAGAGGAAATAATAGTGGTTTTCTTTTAAGTCCTTAGAAGGAAAAGAAAATCATTGAGGGGCTTGACCTCACAGCTAGGATGTTCTTAACCTTTCACCTCAGACACTCATCTATACATGAGCTTGTGTGTCCAATAGCTCCATCAATCATTTTGCATCCATTGGCAGAGCCCTCCACTTGCCTTAATTGATTATTTACAAGAGGGGAACAATAAACACTAGGCTAAATGAGAGGTAGAAAATGTAGCTGATAACTCACGAGAATATAAGAATAAATGAACATATATATGAATTTTAACTTATGTAAAAATATTTATTTGTAATTTAATAATACATTTTAAATAATATGTATCCAGATTTTTTTATTATTTTTATTATTATATATTTTATTATTTTTTAAATATATAATTTTTCATATACAGTACTGTGCAAAAGTCTTAGGCCACTAGTATTTTCTTGAAGCATCTTGGAGACGTTGCCACAGTTCTTCTGGATTTAGTCTGTCTCAGTTTGTTCTGTTTTTTCATGTCATTCCAGACAGACTGGATGATGATGAGATCAGATCTCTGTGTGGAGCACTGGCTGTTGTCAGACTGCTTGTGCAAACAAAAATCTCACTGAATTATTACAATTAATGGCAAAATTAATGTCTGGAAATGTAACCTGATATTTCCTACTGACACACTACAGCAAACCATAAAAATAACTGACTTAAAACCATTTTTTGTTGGTGAAAATACAGACTTTTGCACAGTACTGTATATATTTGAACAAATACTACTATTTTTCCAGGCAATAGTAATGTCACTCCAAATTTTTCCCTGTTCTCTTTCTCTATGTATATTCTAGTGTTTTATTTATTTATTTATTTTCATTTCGCAAAATAAATCCCTTTGCAATTACGCATATTAAATTAAACAAAACATAAAACTTAACAATTACATTCAATAAAGTGTGAAAAGAAATTAAATCCAGGAAGTAATAACCATTAAAAATAGAATAGATTGGTGATAACAAACAATAGAGGAAAAACAAACAATAAACTGCCAACAAGATCATATCTCTTACTTTTTAAGTGCAATGTGCTAGTCAACACTGTAATCCACAGTTTGTCTCGATGTACTGTATATTCTCATTCAGTACTTGAAAGTTCTATGCAATACTTTTGGCCCAAATGAGAATTTTAAGGTGTTAATTTTCGTCTCTTACAATGTGCATATATCTCTTTGTTTGAAGCCAGCTGACAGTGTGGAGTTGTACTGTATCGAGGACGTTGAGCCTTCTTCTCAGTAGTGTCGGGCCAGTGCTGTCTTAATACCAGCACTCAATCAATAACAGTGGGGAGATACGACAAGGGCGACAAGATATTATCTGGCTCACACTCTGGGCTTCTGATTAAGCCTTCATCCCCACTCTGTCACACTGTGATGTGATTAATTTAATACCATTATGTTCTAATGACAGCCTGTCTGCAGGCACACTCACAGGCCCTGCCTTAGTCTGTCTGATGCAGTTCATTCTCACACACGCACACGAAAGGACACTCGCCATATACGCAAATATACACAAATGAATAATCCTCTGGGCTTCGTACTACTGATGACTTCAGATGCCACGAGCTTGGCATGTGGTATTTGTTTTGATTCATGGCGGGTAAGAAACTGTACCGCTTCCAGATGCTGGCGTGCTGTTCCATACATTCGCATGCATATGTATATTTACGCTGAGCTAAGAGAGCCCTGCGTAACCTCAATGCTATTTACCAAACAAGATTCTGTACACGTGCAGTGCTGCGGAAGAAACCTGAGCGGCTTCTACAGTTGAAACGAACCAATTATTGACCATATTTAAACATAATAATAATAATCTTTTTTTTCTGCTTCCCATTTTATATTTGAGTGATTAATGAGGCTGACATTAATGGGTGTAGCCTCAGGTGCTGAATGTGGCCAGAGCTCTCTGCACCTTAATTATAATCATTTGAGAGGCCCTCTAATTTCTAAATGAATAATAGAAGGAGTGAGGGTACCTGGATTTCTGACTGCTCTGAGACTATTTTAGTGTAATTTCACTGATCTGATGTAAAGACCATAATTTCGCTCAACCCGTGTGTGTGTGTGTGTGTGTGTGTGTGTGTGTGTGTGTGTGTGTGCCAGGCAATAGTAATGTCACTCCAAATTTTTCCCTGTTCTCTTTCTCTATGTATATTCTAGTGTTTTATTTATTTATTTATTTTCATTTCGCAAAATAAATCCCTTTGCAATTACGCATATTAAATTAAACAAAACATAAAACTTAACAATTACATTCAATAAAGTGTGAAAAGAAATTAAATCCAGGAAGTAATAACCATTAAAAATAGAATAGATTGGTGATAACAAACAATAGAGGAAAAACAAACAATAAACTGCCAACAAGATCATATCTCTTACTTTTTAAGTGCAATGTGCTAGTCAACACTGTAATCCACAGTTTGTCTCGATGTACTGTATATTCTCATTCAGTACTTGAAAGTTCTATGCAATACTTTTGGCCCAAATGAGAATTTTAAGGTGTTAATTTTCGTCTCTTACAATGTGCATATATCTCTTTGTTTGAAGCCAGCTGACAGTGTGGAGTTGTACTGTATCGAGGACGTTGAGCCTTCTTCTCAGTAGTGTCGGGCCAGTGCTGTCTTAATACCAGCACTCAATCAATAACAGTGGGGAGATACGACAAGGGCGACAAGATATTATCTGGCTCACACTCTGGGCTTCTGATTAAGCCTTCATCCCCACTCTGTCACACTGTGATGTGATTAATTTAATACCATTATGTTCTAATGACAGCCTGTCTGCAGGCACACTCACAGGCCCTGCCTTAGTCTGTCTGATGCAGTTCATTCTCACACACGCACACGAAAGGACACTCGCCATATACGCAAATATACACAAATGAATAATCCTCTGGGCTTCGTACTACTGATGACTTCAGATGCCACGAGCTTGGCATGTGGTATTTGTTTTGATTCATGGCGGGTAAGAAACTGTACCGCTTCCAGATGCTGGCGTGCTGTTCCATACATTCGCATGCATATGTATATTTACGCTGAGCTAAGAGAGCCCTGCGTAACCTCAATGCTATTTACCAAACAAGATTCTGTACACGTGCAGTGCTGCGGAAGAAACCTGAGCGGCTTCTACAGTTGAAACGAACCAATTATTGACCATATTTAAACATAATAATAATAATCTTTTTTTTCTGCTTCCCATTTTATATTTGAGTGATTAATGAGGCTGACATTAATGGGTGTAGCCTCAGGTGCTGAATGTGGCCAGAGCTCTCTGCACCTTAATTATAATCATTTGAGAGGCCCTCTAATTTCTAAATGAATAATAGAAGGAGTGAGGGTACCTGGATTTCTGACTGCTCTGAGACTATTTTAGTGTAATTTCACTGATCTGATGTAAAGACCATAATTTCGCTCAACCCGTGTGTGTGTGTGTGTGTGTGTGTGTGTGTGTGTGTGTGTGTGTGTGCGCGTGCATGTGCTGATCAACATCTTTTTCAAGCATCTTTTTGAAGCAACAATCTCATGGATGCATGCATGAAGAATCAATTCTTCCATACTCACCAGGGGTGGCATCATGCCCTTGCTGGATGGGGGGATGACGACTCTCAAGTCTGGCTTGCGGCTACCCATGCCCATGTTGCCCCCCGGTGGCGGCGGTGACTTCGCAGGCATGACTTTACCAAGCCCGTTCCCGCTGGGTGTACCCAGAAGCCCCGGTGAGCCCCTTGGGTTAACATAGCCGTTTCCTGGCAGTCGTAGCATCTCATAGCACGCAACGTTAAGTGTTCCCGACCCTCTGGGAAAGTTCTAATAAGACTGGTAATTATCCCGCACATTTACGAAAATAAAACATAAATTTTGAAATTGATGAGCCTTTGGTTCTGTTGGTGTACAATGGCGTCAAAGTTGTCTTTGTGTGTCCCAGGATGAGGAAAGCAATTCAGTTTAACAAATGTAGTGTGACTTGAGCTCTTTAAGAAGGAATGGCTAAAGTCATTACAACTGAGTGCAGCCATTCACTGCTATTAAAGGCAATTAAAGTACCATTTTAGAGAAGAAATCTAAAAACTTTGGTGGGGTGTCAATGGTATGTTTACATCTGCTGTACTTTGCCATTCCTACTTCGAACTACAGCTACTTTTATTGGGAACTTTCTCCTGCTATCTAATCTAGTGCAAACGGGGTACGTTTAAATGTTAGCACATGCCGTAATGACCCAAAAAAGCACAATGAGAGGAACCCAACATCGGTCTACAGAACATCAACAACAAATACTGAAAAGTTTGTGCGCGAATGATGTCATCACACGAGAACGAACAGGCTAATCCATCAAGTCCGCACCTGACTAACCTCACACCAGTATACTATATATATTGCGGGTTTCTGGTTTCTGGTCATGTGAACGTCAGAGCTTTACAAAGATGTCTTTCTACCATCTGCTGGCCCACATTGTTAGCAAGTTCCTTCACACAACCATCTGAAATATTCTCTAACAATCATGGGTCATTTACCCACACAATGTGTAACCTCCAAAGACAAACACAGGAATTACAATTGGCTGACGTTCAAACCCAAACGCACAATCACCCCTAAGGTCTCTGTTTCTCTGTTTTCTCTCGTCAGTATGAAAAATGCTGAGCAACTCAACAACAGCCATCAGGCAAACAAGTGCGATGCCTTTTGGTTTTCAGAAAAGGTCCATTTCATTTCCATTTGCTTGGAACTGTGCATACAGCAAAGTGCAATATCATTTCCGTGTGTTTTTCTCAATAACAGCAGCTTGATTAAATGTTAGTCATGGGGCTTTTTCTGCCCCCCACCCAATGCTCATTTCCTGTGGGGGCTTGCTGTGGGACAGCGAGAGAGAAGGCCATCATCAGAGAGACAGAGAGCAGAGACATGCACTTACTGTGTCTCTGTTAAAACACGCCTCTGCTGAGAGCGACACGTACACGTAATTCTCACAGCTCAATTTTTAATATACGCTTTTTATTTCTGGGCTATATCTAGAGAGAGAAATACTCAAAAAGAGACAGGAAACAATCAAGAGAAGTGGGTTCAGGAAATGACCCAAGCGAGACCCGGACCCATAACATGTCCGTGCAAGTTCACTACTCACCAGGTCACCGAGGCAACTTACCTCAATACCAGATTGCAAGTGAATCTCAGTTGAAGCTAAATCTTCATGTAGTTGGGTGTGTTCTCTAGTGTCTAAAACTCAATGAATATCACCCATCTAACTTGGATCAACAAACAAAAGCTGTAATTAAAAACTTGAGGACTACATCAGATGTTTCATCAGTTGTCTGAGAATAATAAATACCTTTCACAAAACTTAGCAAGTAGAATATTAACATTTAGCCTATTCATTTTGCAGATGCTTTTATGTAAAGTGACACAGAAAATGAGGAATAATTCAACATAAGTAGAAGTAGAAATATATAATGCATGCATAAGGCAGAATAGAAACATATATGTTCAATGCACTTACATATATATTTACCATGATAAATAATTGAACTGCATAATTAGATTTTCATTATGTAATATGCAAATTCAAAAAAATCGAATAATTGTAACTTATAAATTCTATTATATTTACATTTGTAATATATAACACATTTACAACTATATTATCTATATTATATAATCTTAGAACTCATACATGCTGTATATAAAAAGAAACGCATATATATATATATATATATATATACAGTGGTATGAAAAAATGTTGGCCCCCTTCCCGATTTCTTATTTTTTTGCATGTTTGTCACACTTTAATGTTTCAGATCATCAAACAAATTTAAATATTAGTCAAAGATAACACAAGTAAACACAACATGCAGTTTTTAAATGAAGGTTTTTAGAAGGGGGCCAACACTTTTTCACACCACTGTATATATACTTTGATGCCTATTTGATATCTAATACTTTGATGACTAAATGCAGAACAAGTAGGTGTCTTAATTTTTGGCTGGTACTGTAAATGTTTATTCAGTTGACAGGAAATATAAGATGAATATGAGCACTGGAGTGTGTGAACCTGTAGTGAGAGGGCGGAAAATATCTTGTAATTACTGTAAAAAAGCACAGCGGCAGTGCATTACTCTGATAGTGATCAAAAAAGGGAGGATGATATCATTATGTTGAAATGCTCCCGGTTTCTGAAAAAGGTGCCTGTTCTCAAAAAGGCGGAATGTGTAACTGAGGCCCTACTGAGACATAAGCTGCTCTGATTCTGAGCTGTAACCAGCATCCCCACCCCTTTGCTCTATGTAAGTCGCACACTGAATCCTCTCATACCGAAACAGAGTGAACCCAGTGTCACAATTCCTAAATGAACAACAAATACAGAAGAGTAAAGCCTTATTACGTCTCTGTCTTAAACAATGCTGCTTACCCTCAAAAAATAATTCTCTCGCTCAGCTCTGAGTAATGCATGATCCTATGAGAGCATAGTTACATAATGAGCCGCTTTTACAAAACAAATCATTTGTTTCTTTTCAAAGCAAGGCTGTTTTGATATAAAGCACCAGATAAGTCCTAACCATTTATAAGTCATCATTACCTTGAGCAACGTAGTGTCTTCAAAGGGGCAAAGTATGCATGAATGAAAAAAGACTAATGGATTTCAGAATCAAAGCTTCGCCTCCCTAATAGATTAAGAGGAACGGAGTCCAAATTCTAATTATAGTCTTAATTAATGAGGCTGAACAGTACCTCTTTAACGGGTACAGCCATATTGTTTTGGCTCCGGAAATCATGCGCAGGAACAATGTGAGCTGGGAAAAGAGTTCCAACTGTTGATGCCACAAAAAAAAAACAAAAAAAAATTCCAATTCATATTTTACTTGGAGAGCCCTTTTGTACAAAAAAATTAATATAATTTGTAATACCTCCATGAGGAATCTAAAAAAAAAAAAAAGACTGAGAGCACTGGATCAGGATGACGTGGACCTCAAGACATGGTTAAGTAACTGGCATAAAAACAGTCTTTTGAGAAACATTCTTTTGACACAAAAAAGGACTCAACAGCTTATAATTCTTTAGTATTAATGAAGGACGCTGTGCAGCATCTAGGCACATTGCATAATGGAGATACAACTCCAAACACACCCTCGTTTTTAACAGAGAAGGTCTTGAATGGCCAGAAAGCACATCTGTGCACGCTACTCAAAACTGAATTCGAGATGGCCTCAGAGATCGGCTCATCAGATTGCTAATTGGTGCTCATCAGAACACAAATGATGTATTTCTGGAACCATTATGTTTGCATCACTTCCTCTTTGTGCACGATCACGCATTGTGAACTTTGGCGTAATCTGCAAAGCTGAGAGCTTGCTCTTGTCAGCTTGAATAAGGTGTCTTTAACACATCAAGTCGTAGTGCCAAATTTATTGCAATGCACTAATTGAATGTGTGGGATCTGCTCTTCTAGTGTATCAGCCACACCTCTGTGATCCCATGACGAAAGCACATCTAACTTTACAAGACTTCACATCGTTTCACTTTTAATTAAATTAGGCTGCCAAACCAGCAACTTTGCTGCTTGAACATACTGAATATAAGGCAATTTAGCTCTTTAATACTTAACACTCCAGCATTATGAGAAAACACAAGGTCTGAACATGTTACGTACTCGTGGTTATCCAATTCTGAAGCACAAACCCTTACACAGAACTTAGAAGTGGTGTTGTTAACATGGAGATGATCGAAAGATCTCTTGGATCAAAGGAGATTGAGCACAAAGCATCGAGGACTAGTTCACCTTCTGGAGTTGTGGGCTCTTCAGCCATAAGTGGTTTTGTGCTGGGCTGTCTCCATTCTGCATTTACACACACACAAATAAACATCACAGAACTCCAGAACCTGTGCTTAAGGAACCAGGACAGATGTTAAAGTATGCTGGGACAACAGACAAAAAATGTAACTAAATTTAGAGAGAACTGAGTTGCCATATGCAGGCTTACTATGTACTGTTACGACATTTTCCAATCTGATTAAACTACACTTATATTTTTTAGATGAATTAAAAATAGTTTAAATGATAATAAGAAAAATTATATCAATAATAATAAAAACAATTTATATATATATATATATATATATATATATATAATGCATATTATATAAAATTTAATAATATAAATATATACACAAATATAAAAATATGCAATACATTCAAAAATAATAATAATAATAATAAAATAATAAAATGTTGTGTAACCACTGCTTAAGTCTGGGTCTAGATCGATTTGAAAAATTCACCATGTGGGAAGAGATATTCTTCTCTTTCGCATCAATACAAAAAACAGTGCCAATGATTTGTTAGTCAACAATGGGATCTGGGTAATTTGAGAGAAACTAGGCCTTCTGTTCCCTGCAAAAGTCAACAACAAAATAAAATCTGAAATGAAAATGATCCGAAACCAAACATTCTGCTGGAACCGTGCTGAGCTTCCATATCAGAGAACTCTGAGAGGAAACTAAGCCATTTTGTTTCACAGTGCCGATGATTCATCCTGACCTCCAGCAACTGTACATAGTTAGGTAACACCAAATCGCTTCAAAAGAGAAAGAATTGTGCTACAACACGAGCCTGATATTTCAGGAACAAAAAGATTCATTTGCACCCCTGCTGGGCATGTCAATATGATGAAAAAGCTTTCTTTCACCGGAGAGGAGAGCTGGTGTATGTGCTTGGATTAACGCTTGGATCCTCTTCACCATTCCTTTGGCTTAACTGGTG